TGCATTAAATACACATACAAGACCTAGCAGCAGCTTCAAGTTCAAGGAAAGATGCCACTGCAATGCTTCTTGATAAATCAATGTCAGAAAGTAGCTTTGACATCCAGTCCTCCAAAGAACACCGCCTCTGCAACAAAAGTAACCCTTTTGATATCTTAATTAATGATACAAAACTGCAGAATCAGTATTTAGTTACCTGAAAAGCATGTTCAGTCAATGTCATACAAAAGAAAAGCAAAACCTTATTTCAGATACATGTACAATAGTGCCATGCATGCGTTAACAATTCTCATCAACTCCCAGCAACTAATCCAACTGGCAGAGCAACCGAAGTCATGCTTTGTTCAAGTGGCAATGAAAAAGGTAAGTATAATTAAAATACAAATGTAGCCATAAATTGCACCACATTAAAAATTTAGGCCTAGAATTGAATCCATTTTTGACAGCAGTAATCATAGCAGATATTCACATAAAGCCTCTGTGATGTAGATCACATTAGGACTGATACCAAATTGATGTAGACTAGGAGGGAAGAATTACGGATGAGACGAGAAGAAGAAAGGGATAGAAAAGGCAAAGAATTTGAGGAAGCAATATTAGCATTCAATAATAATCAATAATAATCAAAGTCTGCCAAAATAAATACCATATCCCCTATCTATATAAGGAGAGCACAAACCCTAAAATAAATAAATAGTCAAAATGACAACTAAGCCCTTGAAAAGCAAAATGACAAATAACTTCTAATCCTTACGTCTACGCCTATTATAATGAAATATAATCCAATTCCTATCACTCAGTCACTTAAAAAGCCCTGCAACTTGAGAATTTCATTCTCTTGGTGACAAGTCTGTTTTAAGAATTGTCCTATCCCAGATGCCAACTTAGAGAGGTCTATTAATCATTCAATCTGCAATACAACTAGTTAAGGAAAGTAAGACGTAAAACCGACTACCTCCTCCAACAGAGCCCTGCTTTTCATTCGTAAGAGTCCCTTTGGTGGAGCTGGTGGGAGATTCTTCCGGGGAAATGCCTTTTTGAGCTGTAAAAGAGAGTCACTTCTAACATGATGGTGCCCAAATCAATTCACGTTATGGTATGAAAAGAAAAAAGCTAGTCTATTTGAGCAATGACGACGGTACAAACATATCATCACTCTTCCATTTGTACACACACACACACGACTTACTGCAGCAAATAACTTCAAGAAATCGTTAAATCTTCTTAATACTGCTCTTGTAGCTGTAACCCCTTCTGGTGATTGTATTCCAACCAGAACCCTGTAAAACTGTTCTTAAGAATGTTAAGACAGTATTAAAAGAATTATATGATCATATTGATCCTACATTACAGCAAGGGCCTTATAAATATAATGCAGAAAGCTATAAATACCCAAATGAACCTACTAAAGGTTGCTCTGTTTTCTAAGCTCTAGTGGCTCAATCGCAGCAGTAGAAAAGCCTCCCAACTCAACTTAGAGAAGGATTCCTCATAGTTACAAATTCAAAAAAAAAAATTCCCTTCTACTTTACCCTGTAGCAGCATTTATCACCACAAAATATTGGAGACTTGCCGGAAGTCGACAAAGGCTATATGATGACAACAATTAATTCCACCCTTATTCCAAAACAGAAAAGCATGCCTCCAGCTTCCAAATCTCATAGTAATTGTCATTGAATTACAATCAGAGAATTATATTATATGAAAGGGAGATAGTATACTTGACTGTGCATAGTAGGAAACAGAAGCAATGTTGAAAAAGAGAATTAAAACAATACCAAGCAAATTAAACCCTATAAATTAATCTAGCTAAAGGACAAAGTCTTTTAGTTCCAAGTTTCCAACATAGAAACATCAAACATGACAATGAATAAAATGGTATTATTCACCTCACTTATTTGATTCCAAAATCAACAAGATTCCTTTATAATTAGCTAACAATTCAGCAAGACTAAATAACATGAAAACATGTAGTTGTCCATATCTTGCAAGTAAATTCATGAATACTGTCAAATGCCAAAAGGTGGCAAATACCCATCATCTAATCCTTTGCATAAATAAACATTCAAGAGTCGTTCAATTTGAATACCACAACAGGATCTGAATCTCTTGATTTCGGAAGAACAACCCAAGAAGGAATTGCAACACAATAACTCCATCCTGTGTGAGGATCATGTGGCCAAACGGTATCCTGCCCAATCTACAAAAAAAAGAAGACAAATTTATCAATAAGAACTATAATTAGAACCGGGGTACAACTTACAAGATAGCAGAATACTCTAATCAACATAAGAAACAAATGAGGTCCATCTATTGCCTTAATTTTAAAAAGTATTCAACAAATTTAAAACCACCTCTGCCACCATAGAACAATAGATATAGAAACTGGGTTGGAGTACAATTTTCAATGAAAACTTCCGATATAAACATCGCTGCATTAGTTACAAGGTAAAGGAGGCCTAAATCCAAAGGAACTTTGAAAAAGAGTGCTGCATAAATATGACCAGAGTATTAATACTACCTAACCTCTGAACGAGCTTGATTTCTTTCCATGGTCAATTGCACTTTGTCATCTGGCTTTTATAATAATCTCCATCAAAAAGCCATCTACTTACTAATACTTTAATAGCTAAGATAAATCTAACTACAAAACTATTTGATTCAAGATAATTTGTAGCTTTTTGCAGTTATTGATACTTGTCAACTACATCAAAATTAAACAAAGAACTACACTCTTCACAAACCACTGTCGAAGCCATAATAGGACTAAATGTGCAATAACCCCCCTTAGTTCTGGTTCTGTTTCGTATCAAGTAGGGCTCCTTTGTTTGGCGCATCCCACTTATCTCTTATCTCACTTTGGAAATTATGTCCTTTAACTTTCGTTAATTTAAAAATGCTATTACGTTCAATTGTTTTTGATATGGCCCCTCTCGAGCCCATATTGTGTAGACTCTTACTTGGCTCCCCTAGGCATTAATTCTTGGCTTTACCCCTCTCAAATGGAAGGAACCAAGATAAATATACTACCAAAAGTATTTCGAAAGGACATGCCTTCAAACATTATTCCTTCAAGTTAACATTGTTTTTGGAAATCTTGCTCATCTCAAATTTGATTTTTATATACGCTTTGAGAATCAAAATTTGGATGCGGATAAAAAAGAGGAGAAACTAGGAAATAATCATTTACTTTTACCTCAAGTAGAATCACAGACGATGACCTTATTAACTAGGATATAGATTTTACCTCATTAAATTGTTAAAGGTGGTCAATAAAGCTCTACTAAAGTGTTCAACGTCCTCACTTATCAGTCAAGTTGTGCGTTCAGATGATCCAAATGCCTTCCATGAGCACTTCTGTAAATAAATCAACCCAATACAAGTGCAGCTTTCTGACTATGGATGAAAACCTTTTGTCCCAACTTCAAACTTTCCACACCCCCCCCCCCCCAACCCCCAAACCAAAAAAAAAAAAACCCACCCACCTAGACACCCAAATAACTACTCAAGTGCATGAAAAAGAAATGTGGCCCGCCCTTTGCAATATTTTATGGGGGAATTAATGTTCCCAAAATCCAAATGTAGAACAATTTTTTGGGCTTCACTTCTAAAGCATGGTACAAGAGAAAAAAATGATTAGGATAATAAGTGTGAGGTTCCGGCATTCAAATTTGCAGTAACTAATGCCTAATGTTGGTGTTGTACCCTTTCCATCCCTGTCGGCCCCCTCGACTGAGAGAGACCGAACTAGGCAATGACCCTTTTACTTCTAAAGCAACGGCCTTTACACTTAAAAGAGCTGATGATCAGCTCACAACCTGTATTTGGTGTTTTACCCGGTCCATTCTAAAGCAATGGCCTTTACACCTAAAGAGCTGATGATCAGCTCACAACCTGCATTTTCTAGAAAAATGCACAATCAACTGAAAAAAATCAAGCACACTAATATACAGTCAAGTCTGCAGATCACACAATACACTTTTCAGCAGTAAGCAATTGCATTAGCTGGTCTCTTTCGTTGCGAAAATATAATGATCGCGAAATTAAACAAGTGAAATTCAATTTTCTTTGTCAAAAAAAAATTCGATCAAGCAATCAAATAATCTTCTAGTACAATGAACTAAAAGTACAAAATCATAAAATTTCTTCAGAATATACTACATTCCAATAAATTTCAGGGAAATTGATCATACCCATTTACGGGGCGGAGGACTCCAATCCATACCCAGAGGCAAAGGCGAAGTCCCATCGTGTCTGTGCTTCGGAGGACTTTGCCTCTGCATAATTCAATCTCTCTCTCTCTCTCTGTAAATCTCAAACTTTATCTCTCTAAAACCCACTTTCTCTATCTAGAACTCAAGGTAATATTGACGGGAAACAAGGGTCTCGGTGATCGGATCAGAGGACAGACCTAACCCCAGTATCAAGAAGAAGAAGACGACTCGGAGGTGGACAGGGGGTTGAGTCTGCAAATTCGTGCTTGCCTTGTGATGATCAACCCCAATTCGGCGCAGGATAAAAACGTTTACGTTGGACGTGGCTAAAAGGAGCCAAAGAGTGTCACGTGCTCCGTTGCTTCCCTCTACCTGACAGGGTATGGCTCGTCTGCGGTTGGGAGCTTACCGCATGTTATGCAGTTTAATGAAACGACTGCGTTTCAGGTTTTTTTTTTTTTTTTTAACTCTTCCTTATAATAAACGACGTCGTTTTTAGCTCAGGTAAAAACTAGATCTGAAATCCTTCTCCTTCGTTAGAGGAGAGTTCAGTCATTAAAGAGAGTTCAGTCCTTCTTCGTTAGACTTCAACAACAAAGCCTTGCGAGGTGCATCAGCAGATTTGAGCGACCTCAGGCAACTCCGACGACCTCAGGCAACTTTGACTACAGGCAAGGTATGTTCCTTCGTTGTCTCTGTGTTAAGAATTGCCATTTAGATGGATCAAATTTAAATTTAAATTGTTCATTCGATCGCTCTCTCAATTCATATTTTCCGTTAAATTGACTGTCTTTTTTTCTCTCGATAGAACCTCCCCACCCTCCACCTATTTTAGAACATGCCAGAAAGAACTCTCTTTCAAATTTTTGTGGACTGAACTCACAGATTTTGTTAATTGAAACCTTTTCATTTTGCATGAGTGTCTTGTATAATGTATTGTTTAGCAAAATTTTGAAACACTTGAGTAAGTATTACCATGCATACAATTAACTCAAATTCGGACACATTATTTTTAAGCATCCTCCCCGTGATGTTGTAACAGAGGTAAGTTCCACTAAAGATCTTTCCTGAGATTTTCCTTCCAAGAAAAATGCAGGTGCCTTATGCTTGCCGTTCTTCTGAAAGTGTGCTACTTGCATGACCCCAAAATAGGCAGCCTGTGTTTTAGTTATGACTATGTTTTGGTTGGATTTATATTTTTCTATAATTTTTGTTTGCTTCATGTGGATTTTATTTATAAGAAATTTTATTTCTCTTTTTATTTGATGTTGTCTGGCCATTGCAGCTGCAAGATGCTCTTTACATTTATATTTTCAAAACAAAAAATTCAAGGGTATCACTGACAGTTCCTTTTGGTTTGGTTTTCTTGCCTTGCCCAGCCTGTCTCAGTAACTGTTAATTGCTGCTGTTGAAGGAATTAGACTGATACAAGGTAGTTATCATTGGGAATATGCATCCATCATTCTCACCTTTTTTGATATCATCTTCCAACATATATGTAATCCACCAGATAATACACGGATACCTGAACCAAAAAAGAAAGTCTTGGGCACCATTTTTTAAGGATACAGTATTTGGGATCCTTAGCAGAGATTCATTTGGCGAACCTACATTTACATCTTTGACATGATCGTATGCTAGCAAATAGCATCTTACTATGTAGTGCTTAGTTTGATCTAAATGCTTTATGTGTTACATTCTTGCACTCAAATGTTAAGGTAATATTTGGTGATTTGTTTCATTTTATTATTTTGATGTTGTATGCATATGGGACTGGATTATATTTTTGTCATCTATGGAGATATATGGAACTGGATGCATAGAAATGAGGGTTTTTTTTTTGGGTTTTTGGGCTTGTGATTTAATGATGGTGATTATTGAATACAGGTATTGGAGTTGGCTGGGAATACAGCAAGGGATAACAAGAAGAATTGCATAGTGCCAAGGCACATTCAGCTTGCAGTGAGGGATGATGAGGAGCTTAGCAGGCTTTTGTGTGGATTCTATTTTCCAAATTAGTTGCCGTAGGAAATTTGTACTTTGTCTAGGTGAGAAAATGCTATTGTTTAGTGTCAGAGTTTGATTATTATAGTAATTAACATTGGAATTTTGATATGTATGGTTAATTTGGAAATTCATAAATTGCAGCAGCCCTTTAATTCATTCAGCACAAACAATATATTCTTTTTTTTTTAGAAAAAGAAATTTTATTCCATGAAACAATGAATTACAAGAAGCAAATGAATTCAAAAACTCTAATTACAAAGAGTTGGCTTTAATCCTTCAAAAGGATTAAAACCAGAAATTTATCAAGCACAGTCCAGCTGCCCAGCCAACAAAACAGCCCATGGCCTAACACACCATAGACTGCTTGCAGACAGAACCCAAAACCTGGACCTGCTATTCCTCCAGCTGTTGAGTGAGCTTCTCTTTACTGTGCTCTATACCCCATAGCTTAGCTCCTGCTCCATTGCTCACAGCTCAGCTCTCAGCAGCAACATCACAGTCCTAGATGACATACTCATTAGGCATATTATATAACAAAAATGTCAAGTGTCAAGGCCAAATCATCAAGCTTGGAGGGCACAGTAGCTTATTTTGATTCTATCTGCATTTGTTCACTTCTTGTTGGGTATTTTCTCTATGCTCTTTTATGTGTGTTTAAGGGGGATATTTCACGGCTCATAGAGATGCAGCAAAATTTAACTGAAAGATACCAAAGTACAAGCCTGAATGAGCAGCAAAGCTAGAACTTTCATAAGTGCAATCTTACTTTTATTTTTATGAGGTTGCAGTAAACAGGAAAGGACAGCAGCAAAATATTCATTATGAATTGCCATCACAACTCATTCATTTCTGACTAAAAAAAAATTGATTCATAGTATTGAATTCAATTTTTGATTCACAGCAGCAAAATATTCGATTGAATTTAATTTTGATTCACCATAGCAAAAATCGAAGACAAATTTTGATTCACAGCAGAAAAAGAAAGAGAGTTCAATCCACATCTCTATCTGAATTCGAAGCCAAATTTCAATGTACCAAATCTGAGAGTTCAGCCCATTCAATAGAACAAAAATCTGAAAGAGAGTTTAGCCAAATTTCAATTAACAAAATCTGAGAGTTCAGTCCACAAAAATTTGAAAGAGAGTTCTTTCTGGCATTTTCTCAAACAGGTGGAGGGTGGGAAGGACGAGTCTACGACTTGTGTCATCATTTTCATCAGGAACAGAAATATAAAAGGAATAGACAGAAATATATGTAAGCATGCTGGAATTGGATTACAGAGATCTAAGGGAAAAGGCAAGTAGTTGATCCTGTAGATTCTGGAAAAACCACAAATCCTTATCAATGTAGATAATCAATGAAGTCAGTATAGAGAGACTTGGAAGCTCCCTGGACGAGACTGTGGATTGGAGGAAGGGGAGGATGTGATCTTCTCAGTGCATTGACGGGTTTCGTAGTAGACAAGGGAAGGAAGAAGATTAGTAATTGGAGAGAGAGAGGGACAGAAAACATGCGTAGGAAGGGGTCTGAAGGTGATTTATTGGGCAAAAAACGATACCGTTTTTGGTGAGGAAGAATAAAAAAAAATATATACAAAAAATATCTGAAACGCCACCGTCCCATTTAACCGCATATCATGCGGTAAATGGGTTACCGCAGAGGAGCCGCTCCCCTACCTGATAGGGTTTTGTGTCACAATTTAGAATCTAGGTGTAACTAAAACACTTATACTTACAATTACATCAACACACATAAAAATATAATTCTGACTTGTAGAGATATCTCATTATTAAAAAGACCTCTTTTAGTCATCTTATGTAAGCTGCATGGCTAGCTATTAATGAATTGGAATAAACAACAACTTAATAACATTGTTGAATGTCTTTTTTTTTTGTTATAGGGTATTTAGACTTGTACTGACTAATTCTTTGTTCAACGGTGGGTCACTGTGGCTTTAGTTAAATTAGAGTATATCTCTAAAAGGATATAATGAGGTAGTGTGGAAAAGAATTGAACCTGAGACATCTGAACTATCAACGGTCAGATTCAATCACTAAACCAACCCAAAAAGTTTAATCGAATGATTCTTATATTCAATTACATCCTCCCAATTTTTTCAATTACCGGAACTAAACCAATTAATGAACATTTATTGCCATAGTGGGAAAATTTAAGGTATCCAAAAAAAAAAAATTAGTATCGATACCGTCAAATACTACTTTGTATGGTAAAAATTATAAATTTAAAAATAAAAATTATGACTACTGAAGAGAGGTCATGATCAATCATAGACACCCATAATCAATCATGAAAACTGCAATATCTATCAAAATGTTTCATGACCGATCATGATCTTTGAAGTTGTATTTTACACCTCAAAAAAATTATAATTTAACCTTAAAAAATTATAATTTTTAGTACTAATACCACTGACGATACCATATCATTTCCCTCTTATTTAAGGCAAAGGATAGTGTCAAGTTGGTTTTTGTTTTTGTAGGTAAATATTTTTGAGTTGACTGCCATACGTTGCAGAAGCTTTTCGGTATGACACCATAAAGCTTTTGCCGGCAAAAGGCTACATTTTGGCTATAGAAAGATGCAATAAAAGCCATGTCTAAAAGCAAAAGCAAGGCAATCGAATTGACTTGTTGGTCACTTTGTATAAAATTACAACAGTGACAGATGAGAGATTTACAACAGCAATGGGACAATTACAAAGATCATTGTATACTTATAATATCATTGTGAGATTTACAACAATAATAAACATAATTACAAAGATAATGGTATCTTTACAAAATTATTGCGAGATTAACAACATTAGTGAGAGATTAACAATATTAGTGTGTACAAGTACAAAAATAAGGGTATAATTACAACAATAATGAGAGATTTTGAACATTAATAGAAACAACTACAAAGATAATGAGATATTTACAGCAACAATAAGAAATTTACCACAGTAATGAGGATAATTACAAAATTAAAGGTATACTTACAACGAAAGTGGGTAAATTTACGACAACATATTTCTAGTCAGCACTGTACATGTTAATTGATCTATGTGAATTATTTTATTTTATTTTTTAAAAGGGGTGCAACACGAGAACTTCAAAAAGTAACGTATAGTATATTAAAAAAAAAAAGTAATTGAATTTGATCGATCACCAACTTTTGGTGATCATCATATAGTTGCAGATGTATTAGTTAAAGTACCAGAACTATATTCTGTGGGTTTGTGATTGATCACTAACATTGACTGATTGATTAG